CACACACACACACACACACACACACACACACACACACACACACACACGGACTCCAGGTGATGCCGATCATCAGTGTCACAGCACTCTGTCTTCTGACCGAGCATCAATCAGTGACGCGGTGTCACAGGTGGGGGGAGGCTACTGTTGTCAACACGATGTGGCCTCGTCTGTATTCAGGTCTCAGGAGAACTGTGTTGGTGTTACAGGAGCCTGGGCCAGACTCCCCTATCTCAGCGGAGGGGCGAGTCGGGGAGGATCTCGAGGAATTTGTCGAGTTGCAGTGACACGGTTGGCTGGAAGGGGGGGGGGGAGGTGGGAGTTCATATCCAGTCAACAAACCAAGACCAGTCAGTCCCTGAACCTCCGCAATGCCCCCCGAACACAACACAAGTGATGAAACCGACTATGGAGCAGCTTCTGCTCAGCGTGGATCTCCCTGACAGATAGCCGAGACCAATAGAAGAGTTCTCAGAAGGCCCTGATGCTACTTTAGTACCTCTGTAAGGTCAAGGGACGCTCTCCTCCTCACATCCCTTCCCATTTCCCTGGAGACAGGGCTGAGGCCCGACAGCTATGAGCCGCTTCAGAGCTCCAGGCACGTAAACACTGTTACCACGCCAACCATGCAGCCTGTGTCCGATCCAAACAGAACCTCAAGTCCTGTTCACATAAACGTTGAGAACAACTGTTGCTCCTCTCAAGTGAAATAACATTATTCTAGTGATGAGGACGGTGAAAAATACAGCTAGAATTGCCACAGGACAGAGGAAGTCTTCCCGTGTCCAAATGTTAAACCACCCGTCCTGTTGACTGTAAAGGCCTCAGTCTACTTCAGAAGAGCTCCAATCCTCCGACAGCGTCTGAAAACGCAAACACACTTCCTCGTTCATTTGAACGGAGTCATTGGTGTTAAGGACTGAAATGTAAGAAGAAGGAATACACAAGAAACGACAAACTGGAACACTAAAGCTTCCGATGCACAGGAGAGGGACAAGGACCCCCCCCCACACACACACACACATCCATCCTCAGCCGACAGACACACCCACACCACGTCTCCTCCTCGGCTTCATCTGCAAACAAGCAAGAATGTAGTGACGTCCTGAAACCTCCTCCGTCACATACGGAACACGAGAGCTTTGGGTTATTGTAAAATCAGTATGAAAAATAAAAATGAAAAAAAACCAATATAAACCACGACAATAATAAGTCATTGTAAGAATATGCAGGATTTTGCCAATCGTTTCTCTTTAAGTTAAACTGAGTGCCCCCCCCCCCCCCCTCACTCTTCTTCATCTGTGCAGTGTTATCTGCCCCTGGACTGTAATATTTAGTGTCATTCCAGGAAGTGGCTGTGCTAAATGTTACAGCATTTTGTCACATTGCTTTCTTTTATAGATTAAATGAAGACTACAAAACTAACAACGTATACTGCAGCTCTCACAACCACCGCCTCCAGCCCAGCTCTATTTGTGGAATCAACTACAACTACTACTACTACAGTGAGTCTGTGCTGCTGTATGTGATCTCATTACAGGTTCAGAGGCCTGGATCACCCCAGCATGTGTGACGGAAACCTTTTGAGACTAAACTGATTTATTTCAGCTGAATAGCCGCAAAGTAAATCTGCACAAAGCTTTTCTGTAAATCAACTGTGGTGAATTTCTGACATCAATTTAAACCGTGTTGGCAGTTCTGACTTCAGAGGGAACAGAGAGCCAAAGAGTCAGACATCGGGTCAGGCTATCGCGTTAGCTATCGCGTTAGCTCCCTCACAAAGAGACAGTCTGCAGACAAGATGGTACAAATTGGTCTCTTGGGTAAACTGTGTTAACTTGCATCTAGCTGGCTATGCGAACTGGTTAGAAGTTAGCCCGCTGTGGCTCGCTAACTAGCCGCGCGAGTGGTCACCGCGCTGCCTAGCTTGTTTCTGGAAAGACATTTCTCTTTGCCGCTTTAATACGCTTCAAATGAAATGCTTGCCGGATTTTCTAACAGCATCTTAAAACCCCTTTTTCCCACGGCACACCTTTAATCCGACAATCATGCTCACTTAATGCAGCGGTTGGCTAAATGTGAAGAGTTGTAAAAGCGACCTCTTTTTTTATTCCCTTAACTGCTTCCATCTAAACAGAAGCTTAGAAAGGTGTGTTCAGACGGGACGGGACGTGCAAAGTCAGTGGAAAGTCTTGAGTGGGCATAAATAAGATTTCACCCACAGCAAGTGCAGGAGATCAGGTATGTGGCTCAAATTCACCTGAATGACGTAATGCGAAAAGTCCCTTTGCATCCCGTCTGAACACATCTTAAGAAAGTGAGCGTGGAGGCTGAGGAGGATGACGGATGGAGCCTCACCGAATGGGCCTTCATCAATAAATAGAGATGATGCTTCCTACAGTGTGTGACTCGAGCACACTGAAAATGTGTGTGTGTGTGTGTGTGTGTGTAGGTAAATAATTCCAGTTTGGACCTAAAATGAGATCAACAAAGACAGACGCAGCCTGACGAGAATTTGGCCAAAAGGCTGAAATCTCTTTTAACCTGTTCCTCCCCAAAAACCTAATCTTCATCTGCCCCCCCCCCCCCCCAGTCCGTTTTCTTTCTGTCCTGTTAGCCTTGGCGTCTGTCCCTCCCTCACAGCTTTCCTCTCTCGGTTGTTTGATGGGTGCCCCAAATGAACCTTGTAAAGTTTCAATCTGTTTACTAATCTAAACACTAACAGGTTACTCCTCTGTTGGGCCAACCGTCACTCAGGGAGTCTGGGTAACAGGGTGTTTCTGGGGGAACGGTGCGGTGAGGGAGTGACAGAGATCATGGGAGGGACCACAGAAAGGGAGAATTCAGTGGAAATGGTGGAGGGGGGTGGTGATGGGGGGGGGGGGGGGGGCAAGGGGGTCTCTTAACAGCAGCCCCCTCCAGACTGCCGGATGGGGGTGCTCTCGATCTTTAGGTTGGGCTTGTCTCCGCCGGCCGTGGCCCCGGGGCCCATGCGCTTCTTGATCTCCGCGGCCATGGTCATGAAGGCCTGCTCCACGTTGGTGGCGTTCTTGGCGCTCGTCTCCAGGAAGGGGATGGCCAAGGAGTCGGCGAACTCCTGCCAACGAAAAGAAGCTTGTAGTTAAAGTGTGCATTAAAAACAGAGAGGGGAGAGTCTCTGTCAGACCGACAACAGACGCACGCAGTTACAGATTCACACAGCTACAGACGCGCACAGTTACAGAAGCGCGCAGTTACAGACGCACAGTTACAGACGCACTACTGTGGAGGACTGCCAGCACACACGTGTAGTTGATGCTCTTGTGGGGTTTTTCTGTTTACTATTAAGAGACACTACAGGCAGAAACATTGTGGTGAAAAAAAGCATCCAAAACACTCATTTAGGTGTTTATTTCACTACTTTGTCTCTTTGCGCCTGTAGACTTCTACTAAATTCACCAAAAGTTACCATTAGATAATGCCTCATTTCAAACATAACATTTGAGAAACCTTGTAAAGCAAAGGTATTGTCTTAATGTCGGTAATCAATTGGGGGGGAAGTGATTTTTTTTCCCTATTCACCTGAAATAGAATTTAACAATTCATGAGTGTTTTCTCAGACTGAGATTGAAATCTCAGTTATTACAGAGGGGTTTGTTCGTATATCATCCATAACCTGATTTATACAACATTCTATTACTAAAACATGGCGTAAATATATATTAAAGGTCTGTTGACAGTATTGTATGATTTATAGAGTGATGCAGAGAGATGCCCTCTGTAAAAACCCATTACACCAAGTTCAGATATGCGTTTCGGAAGTTTTGCAAATAAGCACATCTTTTATGCGATATGAAATGCCTCATTTACACATTTAAACATATTTTCAGAAAACTTCTAATACTATAAATACGTAATGTCTTAATGTAAGTAATCGACTGGGAAAGAGTCATTGTGATATCTATTCGTTCATTTCTTTACTGCATTCTCCTGTAGTGTCTCCCTTTAATTGAGAAAATAATGGACAGATGGCACGAACCCTTAACGGTCTAAATACCGTCGTCCTCGCTGGTCCAGTCTCACAGAAAGAATTGAATAGTTGAGAGCTTCCAAGCTTCATTCATTACGTTGACAGTCCAATTGTTTCACATTATAAGACCTCTAGTAGTGCAATGGGCATAATCCGTATTTTTCCTTGTGGGCTTTTAATGTGAAAGGTCAGCAGGAAGTGTCCACTCATGCAGCTTTACAGCAATCACAAAGATGGCAAAGTAGAAGCTAGTACATGTGTTAGAAAGGGAAACGTCTTTTCAGGAGTTTTCAGGAGACGATGAGTGTGTTAATGTACATAATGCTGAATTTATCATTAGAGATAGATAATTGCAATACCCGAAATGTTTTTCAGTGACTTATGGCTTATTAACTTATTAACCGATCAAAAGAATAGTCTAAAACGGGCTTCGCTCTGTAACAGAAAGACTGCTTCCTTGTTGTTAGGAAGCAGCCGTACCTTGGCTGTTGTGTAGTCCACTACTTTCTTGGTGGTCAGGTCACACTTGTTGCCCACCAGCAGCTTGTTGACATTTTCGCTGGCGTAGCGGTCGATTTCCTGAAGCCACTGCTTGACGTTGTTATAGGACTCCTGCGTGGTGACGAGAACGTGAGCGGGTCAGTTTACAGCGGTTTAACACCATGTGACTGTGCAGAGGGAATAGTAGTTTGCATTTCACAATCAATCAAAGGGTTTTCTTTTTAGTTTGTCTCATAAATGAAGTCGGACAAGATCATGACTTCTGCAGAAGTATTCTCCTAATTTAAAGGGACAGTTCACCCACAAATCAAAAACACACATTGTTCCTCTCACCTGTACTACTATTTACCAATATAGAGAGCAGCTGGTGCGAGTCGCCAAGTGTTGGAGATATATCGGCCGTAGAGATGTCTGCCTTCTCTCCAACATAACAGGAACTATACTCAGCTTGTGCTGCTCAAAGCGTCAAAAATATAAATTAGAAAAACTAAACAGCAACGTCTCTCTCCACAAAACCATAACTCTGTTACTCATGACAAGCCACAGACCTCGTTGTGAGCAGTTTCATGTCGGAACTATTTTCTTTCTACCGAACTACACCGCTGCCAACTGCATCACCGCGCAGAAGGAAGCGTGCGTCTACTCATGGACGAGAGGCTCGTGACAGCGCGAGATGTAAACATTAAAACGAGCAATATACGTCGTTCAGAGCATTAATATATCTGGATTAATAAATACTCCAGGTCAGAGGTAAACATGTATTTTTGAATTTAGGGTGAACTGTCCCTTTAAGTAAAGTTTGTTTTAAGGGTAGTTGATTCCTAAAAGCTAAAATCAGATTAAAATGAATATACTTTTTAATTAGCTCTATATATCATGCTGGGAGCAGAAACACTTCACACATTAACACCTTAACAGTGGAACACAGCTGGTGACAGAACCGCAACACATTTATTTATTGTTACGAAGGACAAAGTAACTAAACTAAGCTATGATAAAGTGTCGGAGTCATTTCCTCCTCTGAACCCACCTGATCCGTCACATCATATACAACTATGATGCCGTGGGCTCCGCGGTAGTAACTGGAGGTGATGGTGCGAAACCTCTCCTGACCAGCAGTGTCCCACTGAGAGAGAGACGGGCAGAGACAGAAAACGACCGCAAGGGAGAAAGGATTAGAAATCGATACCACAAAACACCATTTCATAAAGAATCGGAATAAACAAATAAATAACAACTCCAGGAACCCTTCAGGCAATGTCATCTCATCTATTGTTGGGAGCAGCGTGTCACGATGACGTTACTGATGCACATTACACTGAGTCCACCACATTCATTTACGAGCTAATAGAGTACAGCTGACTTGGTGTTCTTTGTTCCCGCTCACCACAACACTATCATTTGAGGCTTTTATTTGATCTAAAGTATTTATGGAGCAGAAAAAAATTAACTTATGCTTTTATGTAGTTGGCAGTTGAGGCTGCAGGTATATGCCGGACTCTTAACAGTATTAGCAGCTCTATTTCTGTGCCTGTGAGGGACACAGTGGATTCTTTTGTGGCCGACTTCCTGCCATCGATGATTTGATGTGAGCGCTGCTTCATCTGACAGCACGAATCCAATCCGATCAACGTGACTTAGTTTAGGGAGGTCCTGCTTAATGAAGCAGGTCTTTCATAGCCAAGTCGGACTTTTCTTAAACCCCATTTAATAATGTTGCACACTTGGACACACGGGAGATCCAGGCGTGCATACGTCCATGTCCAACATTAATGTGGGCCTCACAATAATCCTGTGGTGGCCTCAGACTTTGTAGATCTAATTGAGCAATATAAATAAAGCTTATTTTGAACAAGCAGCACTGAATGATTATACCTGTAGTTATTGTCATGTCACCTCTCTTGAAGGGAGTTCCTGGAAATAAATCTGAGTGCTGCTGAGGAAGTTATACTAAATCTAAGTATCAGGTGCTTTTAGGGGTTGGAGGCAGAGCGGTCTAACGGGATTGGTCTGCTTGAGTCAGTGGGCTGTACACCAGTACCAGTACCAGTACCAGCTTGAGAATACATCGGAAACTCACAGAGGAACCTAGTACTGAAGCCTCACAAAGTTCTTAAAGCTTCAGGCGATGGGAGGCTAGAGAGAAATATGGAGGGCTACCTGTTTTATATAATCTTCCTGAATAATAATGATTTGCTGAGTTTACATTGAAATAATGAATATTATGTATTTAATTGGCTACATACAAACATGCAGGTTAAATGATTTCTCTGTCAACAATGAATCTGTTTCAACACTGTGATTGGACGGCTGGGTAAAAGAGTGACAGAGCACAGTGTTTTACCCTAAGTTGAACAAAGAAAACGAAAAAACTGACCAGGAGTGTATAGTGTGAGCAGAGTTAGAGTGTGTCTGCTTTACAAACTGGTTGTGTTTGGGATGGCAGAGCCTGTTCCCTTAAATAAAACCAGGATACAGTTACGGCTCGGTCTCAATATGTGTGTGTGTGTGTGCACTCACAATCTGTAGTTTGATGGTCTTGCCGTCCAGCTCGATGGTGCGGATCTTAAAGTCCACTCCGATGGTGCTGATGTAGCTCTCAGTGTAGGTGTCGTCCTGCGGAGAGGGAGACAGGTCGTGGTTGGAACCGGGACATTTAGAGGCCGACAGTGAAGGAAAAATGTGTCTTGGAGGGTGAGACGGAGCTACTTACGGCGAAGCGGAGCAAGAGACAGGACTTTCCTACTCCAGAGTCTCCGATGAGCAGGAGCTTGAACAGGTAGTCACTGAAGGAAGAACAATCCAGGTTAGCACAGGTCTCAGCTACAAGACCATTGGTTTCTACTGAATATGCTTAAAAACACTTTTATTTGATTAAATTTAGTTTTGTTTTTTTACAAAGCCTCAGTATTTTCCTGAAACAGCTGGTCACTTTAGTAACAGTTACTGAGAAAGGAGGAAATATACATTTATGGGACTATTTTCAGCGGTGGAACAAATTAACATTTGTCAACACATCAGAGGGAGAGGATATCTTATGCTTTGCACACACACACTCACACACACACACACACACACACACACACAGTTGCTTTGGGTTGTAGAACTAGGAGTAGAACAGACATTCAAAGGTCAGTGCAGTAAAGAGTACAGTATGACAGAGTTGGCTGGACTTCAGCAAATAACAATACATTAAAATAGGCATTATATCAACTATTAGGATCGTCTTGAAAAAACAATACCTTTAATGTCGTATTTTCCAAAAATAATTTCTGTTTTGACGAAAAAAAGTCTTAACTTAAGATCCATTTAATATCTTTTCTGGAGCTTTCTCAGATGTTGCGTTTAAAAGCTCCAGAAAAAAAACTTGTGAGGGGACCTTGAGTATAGAAGTTAGTTTTTGTCCAACTACTGTTTGCAATTCAGCAAAAAGTCAAGAGTAAAACAATGCCATGGCCGGGCAGTAATCCATACACAAACTGAACTGTCAGAATGGCAGGGTTAACAGGGGCCAAGCACACACTTCACATGTGGGCCCCGGGGCCACTCCAGCAATCTGATCCGGCCCTGGAATGAGGTCTGATGCTCACTCCTATTACAGGCAGGTTCTTCCGAAATGATGGAACCCCCCCCCCCCCCCAATCACTGAGAGTTAAACAACATCACATGAATTTGACACACAGGACAGACAGCTGGAGAGGATTGCCCAACGCCACTGCTGTTCTTGTGTCACAGGAAAACTGACACCTGTCATGTATCACGCCTGACACTCAATCAGCTGGTAAAACCCCACTAACATTTGATCAACAGCACTGTTGCAATCAGCCCAGTTCACATTTCTACACAGCTGTGGATGGTGTTGATGTGGACCGCTGCTGAGGGCCACCAGGACTGGTCAATCAGGTATCACTCATTCAACAGCACCATGACTGCATCGCCTCGTTTGTACTTCAACTCAGTGATAAGAAAAAGGCAGTTAAGTGGTGATGAGTTAATAAGTAGAGCAGTGTTTCATTTGAAACTTTCAGTTTTATTTTGACACAAAAAGGTTACATTCTCTGATTCCTTACTTTGAGGATTATGATAGGTTTTTCAACATTTTTTTTTCTTTTAACAAAAAAAGCCAAAGTTCTCAAATGTTAAATGTTCAAAATAATGGAAAAAAAGCCTGTACAAGGAGGACTAGAGAGTGAAGGTTTCCATCAGTGGCAACCACTTTTGTAACATTTAAATAAATAGGGACAGCAAAACATGCCCCCATAAAATAGCTGTTTTTAGTATTTGTAGCCTGAGTGATATTTTAAATATCACTGTTGCAGTCAGAACTGGAACCAGACAACGCTGCATGTGCGTTGGTTTGTTTACTAGCACGCTCACGGGTATCTGGGACAATGGTGAAGCAAATTAAGTAGTTTGACTGTGGGGATTTGTTCAGTTACTGTGATAAAGCTTTTATTCTTTAAGTCATTTCCATTATTCAGCTGACGCATGACTGCGTAGTATCTTAATTCAATCAAAAGATAAGGTGACCAAACATGGCAAACAAAAAAGACCTTTTAAAAGTCAGTGCTGTGAACAACTAATGAAATTAGCAAAAGTATTATTTAAATCTAAAACTGATAAAAGAATACATAAACAAGATCATGAATCTGAGATAAGAAGCCAACTTTTAACAGACACACTTCAGTCGATACTAAATAGTAGATAATCAGGACAATGCTAACGTAAAACATTAGTATTAAATGCAGCATTAAAACGTTGCAGGCTGTCACAGATTTATCATAGGCCAGGTGGGTATGGAGCCTCCATCCTTCTGGAGTACTGACTGACTTGCTCTGCAGTATAAAACACTAAAAACTACTCAAGATTGTCACCAAATGCTCCGGCAGTTTTCTTTCTCTGGTCGGACATCGCTTGATCATCCATCATTGTTGTATTTGTTTTTTAAGCCCCGTTTTATTAAAGCAAAACTGTAAATCGTCGTGTTAAGACAACAAACATTGAGGCATTCCAGAACGTTGGCTTGAATAATAAAAGCGTACTGTTTATATTGAGCAATGAAATACCTGTTTTTAGCAACAGGGTCTGCAGTTATAAATAGATTAGTCATAAACAGAGGGGTTTTAATAACAAGCTATTAAGTCGGGTCTGCAGTTGGTGATGTTAATAAGCTGTTACTAATTGGATTGTCGTCCAAATGCTCTGCTGCCTTTTTGAACAAGACATGTAGTCAAATGATCCAATGGAGAGACGTTTCCTGATTAACTTAAGAGTTACCTGTAATGCTGGAGGAGAATAAACAATAGTAAAATGTTTTTATGAGTGCTCTATGAAGCATTGTTAATGATTTGTTAACCTTTAATTCATCTATTAGTTACATGTGCTTTACTAGAAAGTGGCACCAAATATTTGAGAATGCCCCAACCAGATGCACTCCTACGATTCAGTGTGTAACAGTAGGTGGTATAAAGGCATATCTAACGACAGACAGGGATATAAAGCAAACATACTGACAAACAATGGTTGTCTGCCAAGGGAGTGGAAGCGTTAGCTGAGCTAGTTAGACAGGGTTCCATCAGGACTCAAAGGGAAGTCTCTGCTTTCAGCACCGGCTGACAGATTCGATGACAAGCGGGTGTTCCTCTCATGTCAGGGCAGCAGGTCGGCTGTCAAACATCTGCTACACCCGTCAAACATCTGCTACACTGCCATATCATGTAGCAATAGCCCAGACAAGCGGCGCAGCGCAGAGTATTTTATCCGCGAAATTAGCATACATAGCAGGTACGACATCATTCAACATAAGGACCTGCTAACCACGTTTTAACGAAATAGCTAGAAATACCAAAAGTAGTTAAGTACATCTACAAATCATTGACATGCCAATAGTCCACTCTGATCGTAACGTGAAGCATTGTTGTAAACCGGAAGACATTTCTAATAACTGGAATTTTACAAAAGTAGAAACCAAACGCACTTATGGCTAATTTAGAGTAACGTCACCGGGCGTCTGAACGGTGTACGTACAATCACGTTATGCACCGGTGTGTAGACAGGCGACAACCCTGTGTCCATGAAAAAACTACCCTGAAAAAACAGGCTAGCGTTAGGCTCTCAATGGAGGATACAGGTACATCTGTTAATTACATTACTTCATGTAACGTTAATGTCAAGCTAAAGGTCTTCATTAGACTTTATTCTGACCATTTTCTCACTGGTTTTACACACTGGACTATTTGTCCCGTGAAAAGGTCGCGTGCCACAGCCGACACGGTGAGGCACGAGCAAAACTGTCAGCTGACGTTTTAAAGAAAACACGTCCGCGAGACTGACACATTAAGAGAAGCCGTCCGCGCCCTGTTCACGGGAGTCAGCGAACGTTAGCTAATGTTTAACAATACATGTATCGACAGCACGATTAGCCTGCATTATTAATAGAAGGTTACACAACAACCCACACCAACATATAACGACTTCTAACTGCAGTCGACAGCAGCCGCCTCACAATGGAGCGTTAAATGTGACTCACTATTCTGGATTCATGGTTTCACTCTGGATGTTTTTCTGTCGGCGACTCGACTCTTCCGTCCTATTCCGGCGAAAAAGATGACTTGTAGGTCCGGGTATCCGAGGCACTTAGATGGCTGTTTTACCGTCTCCGTTATTGTCCCGTGGTCGTTCCACTGTGTTCGACCTTTATTGTTTCATATGTCCTTGATTCTAGCGGACGTATCCCTGTTTCCTCAGGTTAGGCTGTTGTATTTTACTCCTGTTTTTTTGCCTTTCTGTGCCCGTTGCTTGCTAGCGGCTCAAGATGGCTGCGCAGGTGCGGTAGTGACGTGAGGTGACGTGTCGCTACTCAGAAAACAGGACGAATCCACAATTAGGGCGGTGCTGGGATTTGTAGTTTATCATACCAAGTCAGGTCAAATCAACAACTGACGTTACGTACCCTGCACTCATTGGCGACAACAACATATACTGTTTCACAGCAAAATGTCTGGGTGATGCAAACACAAATACAATTGCCATGATTATCAAAGGTCAACTCAATATCAATGAGGCAAGATTTTCACGAACATATTCAAAATTAAATTCAATGTCAAATTTGTTCTATTATGCTGTATTGCAATTTATCATTTTCATGAGATCAGTGTACTTTGTGACAATATTGTTGACTTTTTTCATGTATTTCATAGAATAAAGGAATGGACCTCCATAAACTTGTATATCTTTTCTAGTAACAGATACTTTCTTGAAACAGATATAGAAAAAGTTTAAAAAGTGCAAAACAACATTTAGTTCCTGTCGCTCATTCTATGTCAACTTCCATATTTAGTACCACACATCTCTGCCTCTCTGTCGACACAGTTCATGAGAGGTCCACTTTAGGTACAACAATTCATTTAGTAAAAACAGTTGTTTTTAGTGATCGTTGCCCCCTTTATCTGCTGCGGCAGCAGCAATATATTTAAGGTAGCCATCCTCTACTTCCCCATTGTCATCTCTGGCTGCAGCAGCACCCACAGGACTAGGCTGGTAGACATTTTCCCATCTTCTTTCAGAATCTGTTTGAGGATCCTGAGAGGCGGCAGCGGCAGCGGCAGCAGCAGCAGCGACCTCCAGGCCATGGTTGATGTAGCCGGCCTCCTGGCTGGCCTCCAGCGCTGGCAGCTCCGACAGAAGACCTTTCAGCATCTCACCCAGTTCCCCGAAGTCGGGCCTACGGCTCGGCTCCTTGTCCCAGCAGCTCTGAATGACTTCATAACTGTGTTTGAGGCGAGATGGAGGAAGGAGAGGGAGGAGGCAGTGTGAGGCATGTGCAACTACTGTACAACAATAACCCCCATGGCTTAAGACACAGCAATATCAATGTGCAACCCGCCGTTACAGGTTTTCATCTTTGTGTTGAGTGATATTTAATTTATCAGAAAAGTCTGGGGGAAAAGTATAGTATATTTATGTATTTATTTATTGATGTATTGAACTTAAAACTAAAGAATCAGGTATGAGAGAAAATACAACTGGAATACATGAACAATTAATAAATATGCAATAAAGTAATAAATATATTTGGTATTTGCATTAAAACTTAAAAATGAGAGTTAGAAGTTAAACAGGTATACGTATTTTCATCTTGTAGTCATTGTAAATACCTCACCTACAAATAAGTTTAAATAATTAAATTGATATGTTGACATGCTTCCTTTTATATTGCCCTGAAATGTTCACTTTTCGATGGTAGACATTTCAAACAGCTGCAGCCCATTAGGTATGGCAATAGGTAACGATGTCTCTGTCAAAGAAATAGTCCCTATATATTAAGATATACTAATGCATAGCATATATTTAACATAATTAACTTCTGGTACGCCCAGCTTTCTGTTATTTTTTATAACCAGGATTGACCCTGAACCGGCACAGGAACTTACAGCCTGTGGTCACAGTCCTCGGGGGGTTTGAGCCTGTGTCCGGACACCAGTAGCTCCAGCAGCTCGTGGTTGTGAACTCCAGGATAGGGAGTCCTCCCCCGGGACACAATCTCCCACATGGTCACCCCGAACGACCACTAAAGAGGACAGGGACGAAAAATCACACTCTCAGTGGACAAATTCAGACGTTCAGTCAATATCACAACCCAGAAATGAGCCGTTGATGGTGTGACCGTCTGAATAAAGTGATACTCCACGAAGCTTGGACTCACCACGTCAGTTTTGGTGGTGTAGACAGACTCAGACAGGCTCTCCATGGCCATCCACTTGATTGGCACACGGGTAGCTACTTTTTGACGATAGTAATTGCTGCTGTAGATTTTCTTGGACAGGCCGAAGTCGGCCACACACACCCTGAGGTCGTCGCCCAGCCTGTGGATACAAAAAATGTTTTAACAAATGCATTTAGCATAATAAGCACAAGTAATGCTCTCTGGAGTCAGATCAAATCAAAAGTTGAGAGTTCTGTTATTTGTTTTGTCCCAACACACAGCGTCTCCTCTGAGGCCCTCAGTCTGCTTTATTTATATTTTGAGCAGCTTCCTTCCCAGATACCAGCCATAGTTGAATACCAATGGCTGAGGACAGAGACACAGTCATATACGAACAAGGAGTCCTTCATTTTGAAGCCCCCCCCTCAATGTCTGCCTCTGATGGACTCACATGCAGTTGCGTGCAGCCAGGTCTCTGTGCAGGAACCCCCGCGTGCTCAGATAGTCCATCCCTGCTGCGATGTCGATCATGAAGCGCAGGAGACTCTGATGGGGCACAGACTGGAAGACGGGGGAGAGAAGGGTGTGTTCCGTGATTTAATTTAAAACATTTTGAACACAAATGTGCAGATGTGAGCATGTTAAAAATGTGAGGGGTGATAACGAGAATGCCATTTTTTAACCAAAGTCAAATCTTTGTGATTGTTTTACAAAAAAATAAAAGGAACAGTGTGTAGGATTTAGTGTTATCTAGTGGTGAGGTTGCAGATTGCAACCAACTGAATACCCCTCCACTTACTCCTCTCTTAAGCATGTTGGAGAACTATGGTGGCCCTCAGGTAACGTAGAAACATGAGAGGCTCTCTCTGAAGCCAGTGATTGGTTTGTCCCTTCTGGGCTACTGTAGCAACATAGCGATACAACATGACTCAGTAAAAAGGACCTGCTCCCTCAGTAGAAATGACGGGCTCATTTTAAGATAACGAAAACACAACGATTCTTAGTTTCAGGTGATTATATACCAATGAAAACGTAGTTATGAATATTATATTCCATTTCTGCCAATAGATCCTCCGAAAATGCTGCACACTGGCCCTTTAAAGAGAGTTGTGGTTTGGTTTGGTTTTTATGTCTCATAAGCATTTTGAATCTAGAGCTGTCACCATCTTTGGTATGTTACCTGTTAGTTACCATGGTTACAGGTGAAGTTCTCATCTATCGACTTAAAATACAGTGAACTTCCTGGGTTTAGCTTAGGATGACCAGCTTCAACTTTGGATAACATAGACTGTAGATGGCTGACAGCCTACATTACTCCTACCAATGAATAAACACGAAAGATAGCGAACTGAAAACAAAATTGTAAAAATCATTATGATGGATGGCAATTTGATCCATTCAGCTTACCTTATCCATTGAGATGAGCTAAAAGAAGTTGCCATAATAATCTATCTATGTGATCCCATTTTCCATATAAATGAGTCATATAAAAAGCCAAACCCATCTCCATCATGGTTTTCTTTTTTTTCTTCTTTTTTTGGAGTAAAATCAGGAGCAATCTTTGTCCTTGTGTATCTGTGTATGCATCTCCCGACTGAATCTCACCATAGGAATATCGCCATATCGTGTAGCAATGAGGAAGCGGCGCAGGTCTCCATGTTTCATGTAAGGCAGGATGACCAGAGGAACAGGCAGAGGAGAGTCCTGCTCTCTCTGTAGAGTAACCCCTGCAGCACAAACACACACACTCTGAGTATGTGGGTACAATATGAAACCTTTAAATGCCTCTAAAAACAAACAAACTTTCCCCAAATCAGATCTACTGACACACAATTTAAACCTTTTTGATATTTTTGTTGAAATTGTCATTTCACCCTGACAGCAATCAATGCATCAAATGCTCAGACAAAAAAAAGAGGAAAAAAATCCGATATCCGTCACAGGACTGTAACAAGCTCGTCCAATCATTTAATTCGGCCCGAATGCATTGATTGGATGGGTCACCTGCTGTTCTCCCTGCCTGCATTCTGCCCATGAACTCATTGTGCTTCACTTGAGTCTTCCTCTAGCTGCTAGCTTGAGAGCTGTGAGTGCTAACAATAGCCATGTTTGTTGTTTACGGTCATTATGATCATTTTTGGGGGAGTGGCTTTGGAGGGAGGCCTGAAAGGCCGGGCTGTCAGTGTTGCTGTTTTGGCAACTTTCTTGTTAGATTTAGCAACTTTTGGAGCTAGTGCTGCTCGCTACTTTCATTGCAGAAGAGTTGGCAACATTGCTCTGGGTTTTCATGTTGGATCAAATAAAAAAATATAGTGTAATCTTGCTTGTTTCTCAAGATTACCAACCCTAGCTTTAATGATGACAAAGAAGTTTTCAGCTTTTAAATTTGTAAAAATTGTATGTAAGTTGGTTAAGGCCTTAGTTCATTTTTATATTAAGTCATGACCCGACCATAAATGTGGACCTGAGTTGCAAATTACCCCAAAATGGCAAACTTGCTGGAATATGTGGCAGTGGCTAATCTAATGAGCTACTGATTTACCCATGCACTCTAGAAAGAGTGCATGTATCAAAGCACTTTAAAACTGTATGTCATCATTCACCCATTCATACACTGTTCAAGGTACCACCTGCCCATCAGGACTATCTAATTATAACCATAACCATGGTGTTGACGTGACAACACTATGGTTAGGTTAGATTCAGACACGAAAACGACTTGACCATGTAGTCATGGTCGTCCTGACTACATGAATAAACTGAGGTAGTTAATCTTACCGAGTAGTCTGACCACATTTTCATGATCAAAGTTCTTCATGATCTCTGCCTCTTTTAAAAACTCATGCAAGTCTCCCTGGCTGTGGATTCCAACTATGAGTCAGAGAAATGTGGGTCAGAGAAAAAATACAAAAATAAGAAGTAACAGAGTAGAGTTCTGATAATGGGTTTGATTTCAGACACACCTCTCATGGTCTTCACGGCCACCTTGATGTCCACGCCTTCGTCCGGTGTAAAGACGCCTTCGTAGACTGAGCCAAACTCTCCTGTAGAACAGAAAAAAAACGACTGAATGTCATCACTGACTTTTACTCCCAAGTCAAGTATTTTTTACAACATGCAGAATCAGGTAGCATGGCTCTAAGGACAACAATGTCCCTTGTTTTTTTTCACCACTTTGAAGTGAAGATTGAAGTGTCACAGCAACATTTGGATGGCTTGCCATGACAATTTCTGGTCATTCGTGGTCCCCAGAGGATGAATCCTAATGACTTGGTGATTCCCTTACGTTCCTTCTAGTGCAACCAGCAGGTCAAAGGTTTAACTCATTCAGTAAAATATTTCTACATCTACGTGATGGATTGGGACAGGATTTTGTACAGACATTGAGGGTTCCCAGAGGATGTATCCGTAATATTTCGTTAATCTCCTGAATTTTTGACAAAATGTTGTCATTTACTACCACTACTATTGGATGAATTGCAATAACTTTCACTCAATTGAACATCATTCACACAAGAAGATTGTCTCTTTGTAGTTGCAAATTAATTGACCATTTAGATCATTCTGGCAGCCATGCATAGTGGCATTTGATTTAGTTAGCAACGTCCCTTGTTCACTTTTTTTATGCATTATTATGGCAGTATGGTTAGGAAACGATCACAATCATGAAAACTTAACTATGGTTGCGGTATGGTTTAAAGGTTACAAAAACACTTTCCCCACGTTTTGGGAAAGAGAGTGGTTCCTTATTTTTAAGGAAACCTTCACTGCTGGACTGTGACGGGACATGAACGCTGTTCTCCTACATGAAGGTCAACTGTTCTGCTTTATCTAATCAGGAGTATTGAAGAAAGGGTTCAAGTCATCTACAGTATACTCACCCTACTGAGAGTTTGCACAACTATTCCAGATTGGGAGGCTATGAAGGGATCATTGTTGTTGAGGAACCATAAACTGACCTTTGCCAAGCTCCTTGCCCAGGGTGAGCTTGTTTCTCTCCACTAGGACCTCCTTAAGACTGGCCAGCAGCCTGCCGCTGAGCCCCTCCAACAGCTGGACCACACCTTCCACCGCTGAAACAAGTAGGAAGTCAAAGGATTCACTTCTCAAATGTCATAAAATGAATGCTGAGCTCCCTTAAAACAGGCTGTGGTAGTGGGCATGGTCTGTGCTCAGCTGCAGGGGGAGATCTGTGGGAGCAATCATGCTGTATTGAAGACTTGAAACTATAGATTGAGACCATAAACTCATGTTTACAATGTTTACTGAGGTAATAAATCAAGAGAGAAGTAGAGTCATTTTCTCATAAACTTCTATACAACCAGAGGAGTCGCCCCCTGATGGACATTAGAGATAATGCAAGTTTAAGTCACTTCCTCATTGGCTTCACTTTTTAGAACTGGAAGTTGTCATCTTGCCTGGATAAAATCGTATTGGTATGTGATTCGATTTGTGTCAAAAGCATTGAGCAAACATACAAAAAAAGAAAGAAAAGGAAAATGGCGCTTACAGTTGGACGTCTGGGGTGCAGCCTCCACCTCCTGTGGACGTCGGTAGGAAAATTCAGCATTCATTGGCAAAAGCTCTACTTCCTGTTCAGACCTGTAGGTAAAATTATAACTTTAAGTTTCGTCATCATCACCTTATGTTTAAATTGTGTAGGAGGGTTTTCCACACATATGGGGAAATATAGAACTATTTTTGTCAAGTTCACAGTCATTGAAAAATAGGTAATATTTTGTCTTTGGGAAATTCTTATCTAATGTCCCTACAGACACTGTCAGCTGAAATTAAAATTTGGTGGTAAAAATATGTTGAAATACAATATTACCGTGACATTTTCTAGAATAAGATTGAAATATTGAAATATGATTAAATTACATAGCAACTTGCAATGCTGTCTGCCACAATATCTTTAGTTATTTTTGATAATACAGAAAACCCTCTCATTGTGTAACTCTTTCTCCCTTCCATGTTTTCCCCATCTTCCCCCATGGGTTTCCCAGCATGCTGCTGTGTGCAGTCTACAGTTAGTGGAGCTCCCCCTTGTGTACACTGAGAGTTATTGCGAAAAGAAACTACAGTCATGTTTCCACTTCACACACAGTCAAGGATGAATGCACAGCAGGAGATTAAAAACTCATTGCCTCAGTGTCGAGATGGTTTGTATTTGAACATTTTCAATATTAAGTAATGAAGTAATGAAGCAACTTGCTGGTAAGAAGTAACATTATTTTTTAAATGTAAATTTGATGAGTAATGAGTTCCTGATTCGTTATGTTAGTGCATACACTTGCAATGTTAGATGCGTGCTGTGTAAACTGGCACCTTACTCGTAAAAAACTTACAATGCAGGATTCAAGCATCATTTATCAGCCACAGGAAATAATGCAAAGAGTCTGAACACCTTTTTGTGTGTTTTTTCATTGAAAGATCATGATGCATTTTCAGCTGTCTCCAAGTCACAAACTGAAACTAAACTTAAATTAAAGTGACCATCATAGCGTTGATTAAAAAGCCTAATTAACATTTTCAATATTCATTAACGGTATGCTCTATACGGCATTCAGAGCATCAACCTAGCAGCAAACAACTATTAACAACAGAAACATATATTGGAGTAATGCTACCTGAGTCACTGAAGTGTGCGTATTGTAATCCAAACTTCTCTTTGCTCTGTTCACATACCGGGCCGGCCGGGCCTGCTTTTAGTGCATGTACAGTAAGTGCACGATAATACATGTGACTGCGCCCCACTGGCTAACACACGCCCACCGCCTTACAATGCTCTCATACGGCGGAAGCGCCGTTACATAAGCATAGCGCCCACCCTCCAGTTTACTATTAGGTAACCACTGTTAGCGCGGTCAGCACTGTTGCCATTGTTTTCACTGTTAAGCTTTGTTTATACTTGCGCTTGGCACCATAGATCGAGCATACGGCGTGCTAGCTCCGAGTATGTACGGAGGCGTTTATACTCTCTGCGCTGTTCGTGGCATTATTTTCCAAAAACCCAGAGGGCTTACAAATAAAATGTATTGTGAAGAATCAAAAAGATAATGAGTTTAACACATAGATAACATAGACTGTAGGTGTAACCGACAAAACGTCATAATCTAACCTCCATAATGCCGAGGAGGGATTGTAATTATCTGTAAACTCATATCTCATATTCGTGGATTACGTGGAAACAAAGATTGTATCCTGTAAACAATTTGAGTTGGCTGCAAAATATTTACTCAAATGAAGTTTTTTAAAAAAGCGTCTAAAAGCGAATTGGCCTTCTTTGTACAATCCTTAGACATTTAAATAGTGTTTTTATCAGTGAACTATTTGTGACAAGTCACGTGATCACGCATGCCAAGTCACAAAAATTCAGAGGTGCACGACCAAGCGCCGCAACCACTTGCAACCCCACGCGCCGGCCTTGGTTACGTTATATTATTTGGTGGTATTCGCGCCTTGCGCCAGCTTTACTACGGCAAGTATAAACTAAGCTTAAGCGCTGTCAGCACTGTTGTTTTTGTTTGCACTGTTAGAATCATTAGCAGCCGGCTCAGCTGGAGCTATGTTGAGAGCAATGTGGAGGCAATAGCTCTGAATTTCCCACCTTTAAACAACCGTGAACCCACAGTACCCAGTGTGAGCTGTCTTTAACTAAAAACTATCCACCACCTATTCAAAATCCTGAAGTCGGCCAGGCAGCTAGATGCCAGTAGCTAATTCTGCACTCTAAGCTGAAAGGAGGTGTTCTCCTTGGCATACTGAACATTTCCACCCATTAGTTTTGTGATCTGGCAGAAAAACTACTCCTCATATTGTGTCACAATGACTCAGAAACTTGTCTATATGTACACTATGTTCTATAGTTATTTCCAAAGAAGCAGAAGTGGAAGCGTCCCTTTACCTGAGTTTAGTGTAGTTGCTGCGCAGGACACACACAACGATGGGGATTACAGCCATGAGCAGCAGGACGCCAAATAAAACACAGACTGTCAGCCATATGGAGAGCCGACTCGACTGAGGAGCCGGCACTGTTTGGTGCTCTGAGATGTTAAAGTCCGGGGTCACAGTGATCACCACAGGTGGAACTTTCCCTATACGAAAAAAATAAGTTTTCACTGTGGCACCCAAATCAACAGGACAACTTTCGACATTCTATTTACTTTAAAGATGCACTTTCAGATTTTTGTTTTTATTGTAATAGTACCCAGAGGATTCATCTTCCTGGGACCATGAATATGTACAGTAAATGTCATAGCAATCTGGTGATGAGTTCTTCAAACATTTAGGTGTAGACTATAAACTGTATATAAGAAGTGGATGTGGTCATTGTGACATCACCAGTTGGTTTCTGGACTGCCGTTTTGAAGCCTCAAAACGGTGATTTTTGCCGTCGCCATCTTGGATTATGGCCGTCGCCATGTTTTTTTTTTTTTTACTTTTTTGGTAACAGTAGTTACCATATTTGGTATGCAAAGGAGTGACATAGAGACGCCAGATACGGCTCTGGTAGATAAAGTAAGACCATGGCAACAAAACCTGGACTGAATTGAGAAAGTGTGTTTTGCTGCTTATTACTTTTCTATTGAAAGGGGAAGAATGTGTTTTGTTTGAGTTGCATAGTCCTGCTTTAAAAATAAGCAGTCTAACTCATTAGGGAAGTTAACTGTTGGGAACTGTAACCAGATTTGAACTCTCAAACTATTTTTCTCTTCCCTGAGGTGGCCTATATTTCATTGACTTTTCCTGGACTATCTAACATGTTGGCGACATCTAGTCGGGCTTACGTACATCTATGTATGGTGACAGTGGCGGAGGATGAAGGTGGCACCCCCCGCAGGGTGGATACGTCATTCTGAGCTTGCACCGAGAGTCTGTAGCTGCGCTGCGAATTCAGTTCTGTGATGCTGACCGATGTGTTGGTCAGCCCTGCCGAGTCTGGCAGGAAAACCACATCGTCCCCACATGCCTCCCACCGGCGGCCAGAATCCGCTTCCTTCTCACACTTGATGCAATACTGCACTTCCTGTCTGCCGCCCCAGTCATGCGGAGGATCCCACGTCATCATCAGCACAGATTCATTATGATGATAGGCCGTTAGATTCACAGGGGCAGAGGGCGGCTCTGGAGGACAAGACAGGGAAGCATAACATGATCAGACTTTGCAAAATCTGCAAAAAACATGCTATTAGAATCACATTAGATGAAGATATACAAGTGCAGTAGAAGGAAGACAACCATTGATCAATTTTACAATAGATACATAATCAAACTGCATTTTATCTATTACAGAAGAAATGGGTGACACTGACAAGTAAAATAATTAGACAAGTGGCGTCCATTATTTTCTGCCACTTTCCTGATACTACCAGCGGGGGCGCCAAAGTTGAAGATTTTCAAATTCACTATAGTGGCTTTAATGTAAATGGTAAATGGTAAATGTACTGTACTGTACTAGCGCTTTTCTAGTCTTTCCGACCACTCAAAGCACTTTCACACTACTTGTCATCATTCACCCATTCACACACTGATGGCAGGGGCTGAGTGCCACCTGCCTATCAGACTAACTCATTCATGGCACAGCTACGGGAGCGATTTTGGGGTTAAGTGTCTTGCTCAATGACACATCGAACTGCCGAGCCTCTGATTGAAGGACGACCCTGCTCTCCACTTAGCCACAGTCGCTCCTATGTGTGGCCATTCCCATGCATTATTTTTTATAATAGAAGAACACCAGTGCTTCTTACTGGTGCAGCCCAGCTCATCAGGGTCAGTTGGCAGGCGGCTGAAACCCTGCAGACAGTCGCACCTCTCTGATCCCTCCCCACGCGTCTTGCTATTCAGCGGGCACAGCCGGCATTCTCCACTCTCATTGGCTGGTTTGTAGAAGCCTATCCTACATGCTGGTAAAACAGAAATGGTGATTGTTTATTTCCTACTGCTGATACTGGTGGTGTTTGTAGAAGCTTTGTAATGTTTTTTTTGTAGTTGTAAGATACAGCATTTTTATGGAAATAATTATATGTTCCACTAGTGGCAGAGTCTGGCAAACTTGGTGAATTTGTTTGTCTAAAACTTCAATCCGGACCTAAATGTCTCGAGACCTAATAACCAAATGGCCAGGACATTTACTGTGCATATTCATGGTCCCCAGAGGATGAATCCAAATATTTCCTCTTGCACCACAATTAGGCAGGTTATATTATAACTGTGCTCACAAGTTGTATTTTTGCCAATAAAGATGAGTTTATTCAAAATACAAAAAAACACATTCACCAACAGAAAACATAGGGTCAGGTTTAGGTAAGAGAAGCAGGCTTATAACCAGAATATTAGCGGTCCTTGCAGGATAAATCTGGCAGGGACCCTTGAGCAAGGCAGCAAACCCCCAGCTACAGCTGCTCAGATCACACTGTAATTGAACTGGTTTGAATGGTGCTTTATGATCCGATTACATATCAGCTATTTTTGATAAGGAAACCTTAATTTTGCTGTTTAAAAACTGTGAGTGAGCTATGTAGTGACCGGGACATTTTACAGTGTAAAAACTAAGTACTTTATGACTATGTAATGGCGACTCTTTTTAATTGACCACAAACATATCTTAGACATTTCTGCACCGACACTTCTTGATACTCACTTATTCCAGCTATACAACATCAGTAAAAGTTTGCACTTGGTTTTGTAATAAATGGATTATTGACTTTTCTTTTTTTTTCGCATAGTCATAGTTCCAAAGAGATTTGAATAATGAATAATAATGTTCAGCCCAATCCTAAGTGCGGCCCTAAGAATAGCATAACTGTCAGTATGTTTATGGATCCATTAATGCTCTGGTGTCACAGGCAGCAAGGCTTTGTCTTTACAAAGAGTAAGCATGACGTTGAGACTGATATCTGTTGAGCAATGCACTGGAAATATATCAAACTGAGAAGGGGGAAGATCATGGTGAAGAGGATATGAAAGTCATTTATCCAAGATTATTCTTGCGAAGATACTTATACTGTGAAATGTTTGCTTCAGCACATGACTTACTTGTTGGCCAAAAATAAAATGTTATCATGTTATGGTGACATCTGTGGCAGCTCATACAGAAACCAAATCATAATTTGTTGCACATTGAAAAAACGTTTAGTTGACTAAATGTCCAGTGGATGGTTCATTTAATTCATTGAATTAGGATATTTTGAAACATTGTCATCTTATTTGTGATGGCTGGCAGTACAGCTAAAGCTGTAATGAGGATTAAAACTTGTCACAATAAATCGTAGAGTAAAATTTTTTAAATAATAATAATTTGTAAAACAATAATTTCTAGTTGATCCAGTTTACAGATGTGAGTTACTTTAACTTAGCATAAATTGACATTGTAAACATTGTGAGATGTGACTTTTTCCTTTTCACAACTGTTGAATGAAGTCGAAAGTTGGTCGATGAATTTCAATTAAATAAAAAAATGTAAACATGTCTTGATGATAGTTTTTTGGGAATATACAGAAATAAACATGCAAATGTGTATGGAAGATGATAAGTGCCACATGAAAAAACTCCGATTGATTAATTAATACCAGAATTCTTTACAGTCACGAGTCACAACATAGAAAGTTGCAACAAACAACTTTTCAACCCTTTATTTCCCAGGAGATTGTACAGAACTGCAAAGTGCAGGCCAGGTTTATAGGGAGCCAATCTAAATGCAGATGGTGTCATTATTCTATAGCTGTTACATTACATTTACTTCATAATGATGAATTAAAGTAAAAAAACATGTCTATTGCCACTTTAAACTCTGCCATCCATTTGTATCCTGGTATTGATTGTTGTGCCAGAACAGCTCCTTTTTGGAATTTGAATAAACTGTAAATCTCCATACCTTGACAGGTGTCATCCATAACTTGATGGCCGACTTCACAGGTACAGCCCCCCTGCAGTGGACCCCAAACTCCATCCACATCACACTCTCGAACAGGTGGGAAAACCTCTAAAGCTCCCTTCACGCAGGAACCCGTCAACGGACCCGACGCGGCCCCGGTCCCATTGAACGAGGCCAGGTGGGCCACGGTGTCAGGGCACCTCCTGTAGTACAGTCTGATGGATGTTACCATCACACATGTTCCTGAGTAGGAGAGGGCCAGCTGAAAGCCCCTGCTGCTGACGGAGCCCAGGCTCAAAGCCCGGCTGTGGTTCAGATAGCTGGATATTTGCTCCAGATAGAATGTCTCAGGGAACGGCTTGGACGTCTGAAGGTCCAGGACAGCCCGAGTATCTTGAAATCTTGCGATTAGTGTGTTTGTGTCAAACAGGTGAACTTGTAGCGGGCCGAGCTGACCAGACGGCTCCTCTTCTTGGGCAAATGAAACATCCATCAGTAGATGGTGGGCATCTTTCCGCTCCATCCACTGGCTTAAAATAGTTCTCCTTATGTTTCTTCCACAAGCTTGGAGCACAGGCACCAGACTCGGTGTGCCCAGTCTCAGCTGAATCTTACTCCACTGCGATGACGGGAAGATGCAAGAGAACATCAGTGAAAAGCGTAAAACTACAGGTTCACACAAGAACACGGAGGAGACTCAACAACCTCAGTTAAAGACAGATGCTGCCTTCAAATGTGGTCTTGTTTACCGCCTTGGTATTTTTGTCGTATTCACGATGCCAGGAGTGGATATTTTCTAAAAGCTCAGTGTAAGAGCCATTTTGTATTCTTAACAGTTTTTGTATTTTATGTTTATTGCAAAAGTATGTGTGTTATGCCCTTTAGAATGTTTACCATATAATAGAGTTAAAAGATTGGCCATGTTGTAAAATGTGCTTCAAATGTGTGTTTTTGCCCTTTGAAGTTAAAGGCTCCTCTATTCTGTCCTGCTATTGGATAATGATTGGTTGACTCCTTTAAGTGAGTTTTCAGTGTAAATTAGGCTTTGATGGAGCAGGATGTGGAGCAACAATTTTTCTGATCGCAGATTATAGAACGCAGATTCTAGAACGCAGATTATAGACTTTTTAGTTATAGCCATCCATCCATCCATTTTCCACCGCTTATCCGGGGTCGGGTCGCGG